TACGCCGAGGAACACGACCTCATTGAGCGAGATCCTCGGTCGGCGAAGGAGATCTATGTCATCCATCAGGGCGGCACCTACTGCCATTATCACAGGAACACCTCCCACAACACAGATGACTGCGTCACGCTGAAGCGAGCCATCGAAAAGCTGATTCGCCAGGGGGAACTCTCCCAGTTTATTAAAGGTGGCCCACGCAAGAATACGTGGGTAAACACCGGCAAACCTGGGGCGAACCCTCTACGAAGAAGCAAGAGATCGGCAGACCCAGTGATGACGAGGAAGACTTTGAAGAGCCTCATCCGAAGAGGAACCACATCAACCTCATCGTGGGGGGTAATACGGGGCGGGGGGGGGGGGGGGGGGGGCTCGGCCAATCCGAAGAGGATCAACATTCTCCGCAGATCCGTCATAAGTATGTACAATAATCTGCATGCAAATGAAATAAAAAATAAAATAGTTAAGGAAAAACGTAAGATTACTTGTAACCGAGCCCAACGTAAGTGTTGTTTCCTTAAGACGTTTTTGCCCGATACACGAACCAAGCGTCTCCCAGGATAGAACTGTTCTTTGCTCCCAATGAGATTCCGGTGAACTCAAATATGCAACGAAGGAAGAGAATACGGAAGATTGTGTGTGTAGATTTTCGGATTGATTGAAAATGGTGGCAATCATGGGTATATATAGAGCTTTGGCCACGAGACTCTACACCCAAAAGACACCTTTAGAAAGAAAGGTTGTGACCCTCCTTCTAAAAAGAATGGATGTGTCTATTGCTTCGCCGACACGGGGTGCTGCGCAGACCTATATATTCCCTCTTCCAGAATCTAGCCTGCTTCATCTCTTGTTCAACTGATCACTTTGGACCCTCCTCTTCTGTCTGCTGCTAATTCTATCGGTCTCACGTTCGTTGGCTCGCCGGGGGTCTCCTCCTTTTTTACAGCCCCACGGTCAGGCCCTAATCTACCGCCAACATCTCCTATAAGGGCTTGAATCCATGAGAACATTTACAGTAGACCTGTACAAAAACGGGTTCGGGCCCGCCCCGGCCCACAAAAATGGGTCTAACCATATGTCCATACCTGCCCATAAGAGCGGGCCGGGTAGTATTTAAACAAATTACTACTGGAACCCAAAAAGTTTCCACTTCCGCCGTTCCGGATGCGCTGAGCACTTCACAGAAATATAGAGGCAATATCAAATTAAATTCAATTCTTTGACCAATCAAAAGCAATAAAACTCTCTGCAAGTGTGTATCTATGCATAGGGATCGACAAAGAAGGCGGGTCGAGCATTGGCTCGCCGCACGCTGGCTCTGGTTCGCCGCTCGCTGGCTCTGGTTCGCCGCTCGCCTACCCATAGGACTGCATTCGGCCAGTCATGAGTCATCCAGAGTCCAAAGTGCAGACAGAACTTCCCCATATATCACTGATTTGTATTAAGATATGTGTTGCGTCTTGCGATCGAGTTAATTTCAATACAAATGCTTTCAGAGTTCAGAATATTTTGGCCGACATATATGTTTATCGACGGGGGATGTTTCCTGAATACAGAGTATTTTCTATAATTTTGTTTTTATTTCTTCTTCACGTATGTTGAGTCAGCATGTGAAGGGTACTGTCGTGAGATGACGGTCAATTAGACATTGTTTAAACTAATTTTTAACAGCTCGACATTTTAGGAAGGTAGACATTGTGCGTTGGAAAGGAATATTATACGACAATGTTAACAAGGATGACGTAGCATTCGTTTTTTAATGTTAACACCATCCGATTGAAGATGCTCCAAGAATCTTTCACTCTGTAATTTATTTGTTAGAACGTGACTTTATTTGTTAGAACATGACTTTGTATTAAAAATAAAGCAATTTTGCATCATTTTCAACACATTGTATATTTGTTTCAATTTATTTCTTCTTCTAACAACTAATAGTAGCGTAGTATATGTATCTTCACATATTATACTTTTTCTTGCTTTTATTACAGTTCAGTTGTTTTAATTTTTAACATACATTTAATCCCCTCAAAATTTATTCGGGTTTACCCTCTAGGTGCAAACAATTGCTCTTTTAATCAAATTAGCGCATACATTAATTCTTTATGAAAATAGAGCGCACAGTTCACTTGATTGTTAGTAAGAATAAGGTTTTGTTTGTTTTAGTATTGCAAGAACATATTAAAATGTATAATAGCTTAGTTCCTGCATCACTAAATATGTAGAACCTAACCAGTAACCTAACCAGTAACCACTAAAAGCATGTCTTACAAACTCATATTAAGATCCCGTTTCTAAAGAAATAACTTCACTCGGGGTATTCTAATTAAATGGTCCAGTTAATAGTGTTGAGTGCATTTTATCTATGGAAATTTACTATTAACTCCCTGAGGTTATGTCATAATTATTAATGCAATCTTGCATTTTAAAAAATCAATTACTTACCCCTCAGTTTGGATCATTCTCGTCCTTTGCCCCATCACGTTAGTATTTGTTAAATTTAAATTTAATATAATTCTTAAATTCAATGAAAAATGTCTGTAAAATTAATTTTTAATGTAAAACATAAATTAGTATCATAATTATAAGTCATTCTTGTTGATCGTAGTTAATAAAAAAAATTAAATAAATTAAAATCTATGATATTTTAGGTCTTAGATTGATAGCTTTCAATTATTCAGATCATGGAATAATTGGAATAATCATCACACATTTTGTCTTTTAGATCCCTTATTGATAATAAACCTATATTTTAGGTCATAGAATGATAAAAAATGTTGGTATTTCTTCTTTGCTACACACAAAAGAAATGTCATTGCGATTAATTCAACTGAATGAATTACAAATAAGACTTGTATATTCATAATGAAGAAGTGTCTAGAATTTTGATAACACATTTTATAAACAATTCTTTTTATGTATCTCTGGAATATGATTCGTGAGTCTTCCCCTTAACTACTCTCATTAATTGTCACTCCATGATCGAGTAGTTAAGTAGAAAAACGAATTATCATCAACAATGACTTATAATTGTGATGATAAATTGTTTTATATTTCAAAAATTAATTGTAAATACAATTTTCATTGAATTTAAGAGGTATATTAAATTTAATTTAACAAATATTAACACGAGGGAGTATATAGTGAGAATGATCAAAACTTAGGGAATAACTAATTGATTTTTGAAAATGCAAGTTAGCATTAATAATTATGACATAACCTCAGTGGGCTAATAATAATTTTCCCTTTTATCTAATAGTTACAATATATAGATGAAAAAACGTGCTCGATATCATGCATCTTTCACCTCAAAGACCCTCAAGGGAACTGGGGCAATGTTGCCGAAGAAGTGGTGCCAGCTCATAAATTTTGCATCAAGGCTTATGTTGTTCCAGACCTCTATTTTTTTAAAACAAAACGAAAAGTTTGTAGCACTTATCTTTGTTTGATTATGTACTGTGAACAATATGTAGCAATTAGAGTAAAACTTATAAAGCAAGATTCAATAGTCGGACAAACATTGGTCAAGTATTTGAGTCCTTAATAAACCGTATGTTTAACGTTCTAACCTAGGGCTAGTAACAATATATTGCAACTACATATCAATTATTTCAAAACTATACTGACAATACGATTCTTCTTTCAAGATGTCACATGATAATGGACAACTTAAGTGTGTAATTAAACGGTCTATGCATTTACTTATGAATTTTATACAAGGTAAACATAGTCTCAATTTCACAACAGAAACACGAATAGTTGATTTTCAATGGGTCGGATGATACAAATGACTATGCAGTTCAATGGTCAACTAAGAGTCGGTCCTAATCGGATCTATTGACTGATTCTTCGAAAGCAGGGTCTAATCAGTTTCAATCTCAACTTCTAAGCTAACAAACGTAACCCAAACATGGGGGGGGGGGGGGGGGGGGGTCATGGACTAATATGATAAACGAAAATGGATGGCATTTCCTATAACGATCTGACATACAAAAAAGGTGGTGTTTTTGTATCTCGTCCATTTTTGTCTAAAAAGAACGACATTTGAATATAAAAAGTAATATCCTCATGTAGTTTGATTTAGAGCCCGTCTGGTCACCCAACTTTCAGCCTATGAATCATATCAGCTAATGTTTTTTAACAAACATCTCAATTCTAATTTCACGCGTTGTATTGTATAACAATCAAAATAAGTAAGATTTAAGTTAATTTTCTGATTGAATGGAATGAAGTTACCGCAAAGTGCAAAATACCATTTTAACTATTTTTCCATAATTTTCATTGATAATACACACACATAATTCAGGAGATTCAACAAATTATGGCGCTCCAGAAAAAATTTCATCAATTTCAACAGATTCAGTCGGTTCAGTTATTTTCAAAGATGCTCTTATTATAATGAGTATGCGTTCTACATGATGTTCAACGGGTCATACTCCTCTCCATTTCTTTATTTCCATTTCTTTTTCACTCTATTTCTCTCCTTAAAAATAATAATTAAACATCATTTTTTATTTTTCCATACCCCACCATTTCCCCACATCTCTATCTCTCTCCTACTAGACACTTCCGGTTGGAGAGGAGCAAAATCCATGTTCAACCATTGGTACTGTTGTTATGTCACCGATGAAAATTTACTATATACTATCCTTCGTTCTTTAATTCTTGCAACAGTTTGACTTTCACGTTTATTCACACACAACTTTGACCGTAATTATATTTAATTATATATTAGTAAACAATATAAAAATTTGATATTTTGGAAATTCACATTAATAGGAATTTAATAACATTTTATACTTAATAATTTGATTATGTAGAAAATTATTGTTAAAGTAAAATCTGTGAATAATGCAAAAATCACAATGTTGAACATTTCACGGTGATGATGTGCCCATACCTATGTGGTGTCAATACGTTTTTACAACCGTATTTATGTGCATTATTATTCCATGGAATTTATACGAGTGAATCGCAAAATTGCATCAAAGCCCGTCACGCGTGAAAACTCATTCCAGTCATTGTAAAATGTCACGAACAATTCATATTCCCTTAAAATTGCTCTTTCAAGTACTTGGAGAATTGATAATAGGTGAGGTCTAATCTACAAATGGCGGAAGGCTCACTCTCACTGTGTTAGAACATCTCAGTCCACCAAACACTGGAGTTTCGTCTCTCCATCCCCTCGCGCGTCAATAGTTCGCCTGTTTACCTTCCGCCACCTCTTTCGATTTTCAACCTTCACACACCCATCAAGCAGAAAGGTTAGATTTTAGCACATTCGCTCAAGCATTCAGTGATTTAAACTTTATTCTGCTTTCCGTTTTACTGTTCTTCTTTTATTTGAAGATAGCTGTTTTTGTTCCCCCCCTTGACTTTGCATTTTAGTGTCCGTCTGTTTCGCGCGACTTTGAATTTAGGGTTTCTGTGGAATTTCAGCTGCCGCCGGTTCTCTAGCCAATGGATGCCGCGGCTGGGGTTGTTGCTGCACGCGGCGCCGGCATCCCTCTTCCAGTTTCCTCACCCCAGGCTTCTCGCAAGGAATGGCGCGCTGTACCTGAGCAATCGCTGAGGAATTCTACTAGCGAGGTACTAGAAACTTTACACTACACATCTTAAATCAACAAGTAATGTTTTTGCTCACCCCAGGCTTCTTCATTATTTTGCTCTGAAATCAACAAGTAATATTTTTGAATATATTTGTTCTATAGATTGATCGTTCAAAGTTAGGGCAGTCGGACGAGAGATTGATATACGAGGTAAAATGTATATCTTTTCCCTTTCTTTCAATTTTATCCTATTATTTATCTTGTTGGTTCTCTTTATGAGGCTATGTTTGGATCTTAATGGGACGAGAAATTGAAGATGTTTTGCTGTTTTCTCAAAGGTGCAGCACGGGAGAGAACCGGCGGATGTGGACTTCTGCTCAATCGCTATTGATGGAAGCCCGGACAGTGATCTTCTGCACCAGAGGCTTCATACTGTTGCTAAACAAAGAGATGAGTTGCAGCAGATGGAGATTGAGCTCCAGGCTCAAATCATTACTAGGTCACAGATTATGGAACTGCGTAAAGTTTTTGAGGCTGAAGTCAAAGAGCAGGCAAATGCCAATATGAAATATCAGGTCTGTATAGTTTTTACTTGTTAGCAAATATTTTTGGACAAGTAAACACTTGTTTGAAAATATCATGGACTTAAGGCTGTTTATTACTAGTACTATAATTCAATTATAGTTACACTTAATCAGGTATCTCTCTTTGAAATTTACACTACATTTTTAAAAACTAAGCTAAAAAGTTGTTGAACTGAAAGTATCGGATTTGAATACGGAAAAAGCTGTTATTATAGAAATTAAAAAATAAAATAGAGCCGCATCGCGTGGTCAACCACATGTACAATTGAAGGTACATAAAGATGCAACAGAAGGTGTAAGATAAGAAAAATGTTTCATGTTATATTTTTTTGAACTTCTTTTAATGTGAACATCATGGACATGAAGGAGCAACTGCGTGAAAGGGACCAGAAGATATTTGAGTTGGAAAGAAGAATAGAAGAGAAAGAGAGAGAGTTGCAGGCTGTAAGATTGGACAATGAAGCGGTTGGTTTGATAAAATTACATATTCTTTAATCTTTTATCGACTGGAATTTGAACATCAATTTTTCGTTACGGGTCTTTAATAGAAAGTTCTGCTTTGCTAAATCTATATGTGGCAGGCTTGGGCTAAAGAGGATCTACTGAGAGAACAAAACAAAGAATTGCAAACGTATAGGTACCATATGTATGCTCCATGACTCTGCATCCCATGTTACGTTTAATTCAAGTACAGACTGACAAATATGCTACCATATTCTTTTCTATTCCTATTGTTCTTTATGGAAGATAATCTTATTTTGATGCCAATAAGGCCCAATATAATAGCTTAATAAGTATCCCTGCATCTGAGGTGTTAATTTTGTGCAGTTGTACTGCGGGAAGCTTTTACTTATTAAGCGATATCCTCACTGGAAATGATTTTTTGAGTGATTGAAACTTGTAATGAGTTCTTAAATTGGTGACTGCTGAGGTTTTAGCTTTATTGATTTGTTTCCAGCATGGCTCATAACTTTGCAGGAGAGAGAGGGACAACTCTGAAGCTGAAAGAGCTCAGAATATTAAACAAATTCACGAACTCCAGGAGCATATTCAAGAGAAAGAACGTCAATTGGTGGAACTGCAGGAACAGGTCAGTCAGTACACTTGTGCCATAATTGCAGAAAATAGTTTAACTGCTTTGCTGTATCTTAACACTTTACACACACTATGTCTATATACTGACAACAATGTTACCTTTTACTACGTATTATATGCTAGCTGCAGCCTAGAACTTTGCAGTCTGACAATTTGAATATTCTTCATTGTTCAGAACAGAATTGCTAAGGAAACCATTAGTTACAAAGATGAACAGATGCGGGAAGCCCAAGCTTGGATGAGTCGTGCTCAGGATTTCATTGCATTGCAGCAAGCTGAACTACGTGAACGGGCAGAGCAGTATAATCAGCTTTGGCTTGGTTCTCAGAGACAGGTTATTAACCTTTTCATATAGTTGCTTTTGCAGGCAGAGAGGCCGCATTTGTCTTTTAATTTTCATTTAGTATAATGGTTAAGCCCAGTAGGCGATTAATTGGATTTTTTTTAGTTTGGCGAGATGGAACATATGCACCTGCGTTTGCAGCAGCTCCAAATAGAAGTAACAGAGGCAAAAGAAAGAAATAGCACTTCCACAGATTGTTCCCAAGCCTCAAAGGAAACTGCAAAAGATACTTCACAGCATGGGCTGGAAAAGGGAAACGGACATAATGAAAGTGCTAGTAATGGGGGTTGTCCTGCAAACTCTGGACACGTGCCAAATGGAAATGCTGAAACTGCCCTGGCATTGTCTTCTTTTGGGAATCTGTCAACTCAGGTAGAACTTCTTGTCTTCTTCCTTCTCTATACCCCAACAGTGGAACAGGCTATGATCATTAATAAAATTGATATTTGGCATACACTTTCTTGCAGACAATGCTGTTTCCTATTCATCTTTTTTTTTTTGCGTAGTTAAAAAATAAATAGCATATAACAATGGCTGTTTGTAGCCTCATCTCATTATTCATTTGTAAGAAGGTTGCGACATTAATGGCATTCGGTGCCAAACTTTGCCACTGTATTTTTTTGCACGGATTTGCGGTGTTAACCAATTTAATTGACACTAAATGTAATTCTACCGACTCCGGATTATTTTGGATTAAGGCTGTAATGATGAAAAGTTTAGAGTAACCATATTTAATTTATTCAAAATAGTAAACCTAATTATTCATTGTTATCATTTGCAAAGCATTGGCGTTCTCAACCCAACTGAGGATGACATCATTGCAGAGTGTGCGTGTTGAAATGAAGCTTGATGCTAGCCAAGGATAAATAGTGCGAGTCAAAAACAGCATTTTTATTGAATAAACGAGCCTCATCTTATCACCCTTGGCTGTAGCATTGGAGAGATCATAACATATGTGTGGAATGTGAATTCATTAGTTGTAGATATGAGAGTCCATGACCCTTTTTGGCTTGTTGGTACTCTTAGTACTATGTATTGAACTATTGACTTCATTTCACTACACAAGCAAGTGGCATTGTTGGAGTACCTTTGTGTATGAAAGCTAATGCATGGCTTAGATGAGCTGTGTTTGATTTTTAAATGCTTTTGCTACATTCATTTCCAAAGCAAATCACCAGATTTTTCATGGAGATAGATATGCTAATACCTCACCTTTAGTGATCACTTAGAAAAGCATTTGTTGTTAGTTTGTTGATGGCAGTGGATGATATGTATAGTGATATAAGGGAGAATTTGACTTTGCACCTCATGTTTGGGTGAAATAGGTCTTTGATCCCCATTTTCAAAAAAGATAATGCATGGACCCTATTGGTGCAGAAATTTCTGAAGGAATGAGGTGCTAACATTTTTTTTAAACTTAACAGGTGGACACTGTTTTTTTAAATGGGGTGCAAAGTCCAATTATGCCCAAAAATGGGGTGCTATGTCAAATGTACCTGATAATTATTTTAAAATAAATAATTATGATTCCAACAAATAACTTTATGTGTTGAAAAGACACAATTTAATATCTATTTTGTTAATGATAATTTAACGATATGGTGGATTATGATACATCATTTATAACCCATTTGGACTTTTTTAAAGGTGTCTTTGGTATTATCTACTTTATTGGTTCTATTTTTTCTTGAAAGTGCTGGCATAACAATATCATTTTCGTTTGATGTGTTAGAATGACGCCCATGGTGTTCCCCTTGCTCCTTCCTCTTTACTTGGGATGCCTACCTTCATTCAACCAGGTCAAATCGCAGAATCTCATCCATATTTAGTGCATCAACAGGGAGTCCCTTCTTCCGTACCTACACAGATTCCTCAGTCTCATCATCTTGGGCATTTCCACTCTGTACCTGCAGTACCGTCTTTCCAACACTGGCCCAATCAACAGGTAGTAGATTCAGATTGATACCTTATCCAACTCTCTGGCTAATTTCTTTTCTGTTGTTTAAGGTTTCATCAGAGGGTGCCTCACTGATGTCTATTCACAGTCAATATCATCTCCAAACAGAATCAGTGTTGCTAACACCAGATTCAAATTTTGAATATGAAGCATCTATAAATGGAAAAGTACCTCTTCTAGAAATTGAACCGAAGGCTTCTGTTGGGGCTTCACATGCAGTGGAGCAACAGGTAGGCAGATATCATATGCCTTGTTTTAAGTTTTTAACTATTCATGTAAGTTGCTTTGTTTTCTTCATCCATCTAAAGCTTTTTCTTCAGTTTGTGGGTGAAAACTGCACACCTAGTCTCCAAACCGAGCAGTATACATTGCAGCATATCTCTACACAGTTTCATGATGTATTGAGGCTTGATCAGCTTGAACACAGTAATGAGTTTCAGGTATTGTTGTTTGATTCATTGATTCTATTCTTATATAAGGCTTTTTAAATGAATGATTTTGGGGTCTTTTGATCAGTGGTGTATTTACTTTAGTGGTTGATACAATTTCACTATTTTAGAAGCAAATTTTAATTACATACTCCCTCCGTCCCTTAAAACTTTGCCAAGATGTAAAGTTGTAATTGTTAATTTGTTACTCCTCCGTCCCTTAAAACTTTGTCATCTTTCCTTTATGGGACGTGCCAAAAAACTTTGACACTTTCCCTTTTAATCAATTTTTTTGTGATTTCTGTTATTTCTCTCTCCTCTGCACAAACCTCAACCACACAGTTTTTACTTAATTTCTCTCCTCTGCACAAACCTCAGCAATAAAAGTCATGGACAAAAATATTACTTAGTAACTACTACTACTATAATTGACTATAATTGTGTTCAAAGTTTACATCGGAGTAACTTACATATAATTACTATGATGTAAAGTTAAAAAACAGTTATAGTCACTAATAGTTACTAAGTACCCCCTCCGTCCCGCAATGAACTTCCCACTTTCCTTTTTTGGATGTCCCAGAAACAAGTTCTCATTTCCTTAAATGGCAAGTTAATCTACATCAAAACAGTGTCAAACAGTGCAAAACAGTGCCAAACAGTGTCAAAACAGTAAAATATACCCCATGGTAAGTTTATTTCCTTAAAATGTGTGTAGGTCAAACTGTGAAGTTCATTGTGGGACTTGGGGAGTAATATTTTTGTCCACCACAATTTAAAGAGTAATATTAATGAAATTGTTTCAGGATGCAACACCCAAGGAGTACACCATCCTGTCCCTCCCCGCGCTTATTGTTTCCCTATCGCCATTAATAAGTAATATTTGATTTATTTATACATATAAAACACCAATTGGGGAAGTTTTAGCAGCCCTGTGCACATTGGCTTACCCGCAAGTCGATGATCGAGACTTGAGGGGCAAGAGGCCGCTCCCTTGTAGATAAATATATTTCATATATAAATTATGAAATATACACCAATATGTATATAAATATATTTCACATATATATATTGGGGTTGGGTGGGGGTTGAGACATGAAAGGGGATTTGTCCCTGCTTTAAATCCTATCTTTAAGTGTAAAACTATTGATGATTAACATTTTTTTAAATACTGATTTGCAGGGGAATGATTTAAGTACTTCGGATAATCATGGGGTAAAGTCAGGAGGGGTTATAACTGGAGAAGTTAGCGCCACTAGTGATAATAAAAAGTCATCACCAGAAGTTCCAGATCAGATTAGTCATTTAAATGACAAAGTAACAGATGCCACCCAGAGTAATGCTGCTTGTGTGCCTGAAAAATTGATTTGCGGGGGTCAGAAAAATGCACATGCAGTTGCTGGGAAAGTAGCTGAACCTGATAGTCTACTTGGAGAACAAGCACTACTGGCATGCATAGTTCGCACAATTCCACCTGGTTCTAGTGGTAGAATTAGGATTAGCACAACGGTTAGCTACCTACATTGATGATTTCATTTACATCTTTAATAAACTTTAGGCATAAGTGATTGGTTCTATGTGTGGTGGACATGCAGCTCCCAAATAGGCTGGCGAAAATGCTTTCTCCCTTACATTGGCATGATTACAAGAAGAAATTTGGGAAACTTGATGACTTTGTAGCCAGCCATCCCGAAGTATGTGTTCCTCTTTAAAGAAGGATAAAATCCTCAGATTTTTTTCCTGAGTGTACCTTATTCTGATTTCATATTTTTCAGTTATTTGTGATTGATGAAGACTACATCCAGCTCCGAGAAGGTGCTCAAGAAATCATAGCAGCCACATCAGCTGCAGCCAAAGTTGCTGCAGCCGCAGCTGCTGCCGCCGCCACATCATCATCCTACCCTTTGCATCTGCCTTCCGTTGCTGTCACTCCCATGGCTCCTTCACAGAGGATGAAGATTTTAATGAAACCTAAAAATTCGGCAGATCTGAGTGCTTCTAGATCTAGTAACGGTTCATCTTCGGTACAATTCTCTATGAGTGAAGGAATTAAAGATGACAAAAATGATCTCTCTCCCAGAAAGGGTGCATCATCATGGAAGCCTGCTTCAAATTTAGCTGGCAAACAGCAAGAAAGGTAATAGCATTATGTTTAACGTAATAGGGAGTTCAAATCTTATATTGAGATTGTTAGAAACCATAAAGTATTTTAATCATAATAACGAGCTAATGTTATATTTGTCAGGATCAGCCGGTTTCCACCAAGCTCTAGAAGATAGTTCCTTTTTCCTTGGTAAAGTTGGTCTTTCAGTCTTTATTATTACTACGTACGAGTATTATTTACTTATGAATATCCCATCTATAATTTGATTTTTAAGTAGAAGTAGTTTAAACCTCGCATCTATTTGCTTATAGCTTAACGGGGGAACATGACTGCTTTATCCACTCTGTCTTGATTTGAGTTTTATTGGATTCAGCAGGAGGGGATCTTTCGAGGACATCTTCAAATTAAGCTGTTGAGTTTCTGGAGAATGAAGGGATCTTTCGAGGACATCTTCGAATTAAGCTGTTGAGTTTCTGGAGAATGAAGTTGGGGATGTATAATACACTTACAAATCAGAGTGTGCAGATCAATATTGTTATTATCATGACGATCGGAAAATTTCTATCTTGAGTTTTTTTGGGGATTTTCTCCCCCCATCTCTTTTGTCCCGTTACTGGGCTACATGTGTAGGCATTGACAACCTATGTAAACTAGTGCCTTTTGGGGAATTATTATTAAACATGGCTGATCTTGTTAGAATGTTTTTTCACAATCTGAAACTTGCAACTTTTACACCATCCTTGCTTAGTTGTAGATTGGATCCACAACAACATCAAAGCCTATGATATTGATGCCAAACAGAGATGATGAACCAAAGGAGAAAAATGTAAGATAAAACGGATAAACTAAAGATAAATAAATATAAGAATATAATAAAGATAAAACAGCATAAAAAGCTAGAAGATAAAAATAACATTAGAATATAAAAAAATAAAAAGGGAGAACTATCAAATAAGTCCTCGAACTTTCGTAAAAAGTGTAACATTAGAATATAAAAAAATAAAAAGGGAGAACTATCAAATAAGTCCTCGAACTTTCATAAAAAGTGCAAATGAGCTCTTTTATAGTAGGTTCTGTTCGGCCGTCGTCATTTGTGGCAGTTTCCGGTGTAATTTTTTGATGAAATTTTTTGAGCATCTTCTTTATTAAATCTAGTTTACCAATACTAAATTTCAGCTAAAAATTAAATCGAGAAGGTAGTCAAATTAATTTCTGAAATATACTGCGCTGTCTAACTGCGCAATCATTTTCAAAAATTCATTTGACTGTCCTCCCGATTGAATTTTTAGCTGAAATTTGGCATGAGTTTCAAATCACTTTTATCGATCCGATACTATACCGTTTCAAAAAAAAATTATCTTACACCATTTTTATCAAATCACTTTTTACCGACTTCATCCCAATTTCATCGATTCAAGAACCCATTCAACTCATTTTAGTAATGTGAAAGGAAGAGCTCTTCAAGTTGAAAGTGTATGCACTGGACCAGACAAGCGGACCCTGATTTGAGTTGAACGCGAATTGTTTAATCACCACCGCTGCCTCGACTGCCTTCTAGATCTGTCCCACTCTCTCCTGTTGCGAAACGCATCGTCAAAGCAGTGAAAGCCCTGAATTTTAATACAGTAGTAAATTATAATAAAAGCATTTCCACGGGTTTAGGGTTTCCTCGTACCCCACCCACGATACGATCGTTTCAAAATCGGACTCAATTTTAGGGCCAAAAAAATGCAGCCGCAGCCAACTCTTAACTCTGTCCCTCAGCTTCCACTTAATGCTGTCACCACGGAACAGATTCAAAAGGTACTCTTTTTCCCGTATCCTTCAGATGCTTATGTAATCTCATAGCCTGCTAAAAGTGGGTGTATAGTGTGTCCTTACATAGTTACATTTATTTCATTTTCTGGTGGAAATGAATCACTATTGGAGAAAGAAAAGTTTTATATCTCCTCCTTGATTATTAATAAGGAGCTATAATAGGATGCTAGCTGTGTGTAGAAAAGCAGTTTTGCAGTGTGTGTCAGTTCATGGAATGATGGTATTTGTGGTCAATCTTTTGTACAACATTTGCATCATGTATTTCTATGGTTTAATTATGATACAAATTTTTGTCCAAGTAGAATTATGCAGTTCAAATACTCTAATTTTTCCTATACTTTTAATTACTTTGTTAATACTATGATTTGATTAGGCAAACTAAGGCCGGTGTAGAATGATAGCCATGGATGGCTGCCTGAATAGCGCTGGGGATTGAATGAGTCAACTTGGAATCTGTGTCAACTCCCAAAAATCTGAAGTTGATTCATATTCCAAATGAATTATGACCGGGCAATCGATCATATTGCTTTCGTAAAATAGCTGCATCAGACTTTCGATAGAAAATAATTTAAATTTTAAATGATAAAAGAGAACGAAACCAAAGAATAATGTTGGAGCTCATTTGCTCCCCACAAAGTTTGCCTTTTCCTTTTCTTTTCTTCTTTCTTCGTGTTTGTTTCTTTATATATTGGTGTAGTTAAGTTTTTGTTTTTATGATTATTTTCATTCCTTATGTTGCGTATCATACCTTATATTTTTATCTTTCTTATCTTTTTCTTCATTTTGGCTCCAATATTGTGTATAGATTCATGTTAGCCAACTCCTAAATCTTTTGGGACTAAGGCTTGGATGTTGTTGTTGTTTATATAGAAATCATATGAATCATATCATTGGTCATGACAAAGGTTTGGTAGTTAAACATATTGGAAGTGTATATTTTACTCTTGCTCTGAATCAATATGTTTAACTAGTATTTTATACATATTATTTCTATATTATAGAGTATAATATATTGTATTCAAATATTGCACATGGCTACTTGTCATACTACATGAATGCCTGTTTTCCTGTATATGACAAGGCAGTCCACTAACACCACACTTTGCATGGGCTCTGACTGAACCTACATAGCAATAACGTTCCGCAGCAGTATATAAAAAATAAAAAAGTAACTGACCTCATAGTGTCATGTCTTTGTAGAACATTCATTAATATCCTTCTATTGATGCAGTGTTTGGATGATAACAAAAATCTTATATTGGCGATACTAGAAAATCAAAACCTTGGAAAACTTGCAGAATGTGCACAGTAAGTTGTTGTTTCTTAACTCTTGAAGATTTCAGTTTATAACAGACATTCCAATTAATTTTTGTGTTATATGTGACTGTTAACTTTTCTAGTATTATTACGACTTTATGGTTATTGGAATAAGCCAATAAGAAGATTAGGTGGTTATTACCTATAAAATGCTAGAGTATAGCATTCAACACCTATAAGGGCTTATACCTTCAGGCGAAACTATATAAAATTACCCCTCACAAGGGCCTTACATAAGCCTCATGAGATGTATGGAGCTTATGCCTATGATATTAAATGTGCTATTTTATGTAATTTAACACAATAAGAATTGCTTTCATTGCGAGCTGTTGTATTCTTATAGTTCATTAGTTATTTAAAGCTCAATCCAATCAAAACCTTAGGAAATTAGATGTCCATTCTCTACCCAATTTTAATATTTTGTTCTCTAGTACTCCTCTACTTTCTTCTCTACTGGATTGGAACTTCATCATAAAGTGAATTTCTTTTCGAGACTACTTATGGTTCGTCACCATATGTGATAAAGAGATGACTCAGATGTTTTGATTCTCTTTATGAAATTTATCTTGCAATTATAGTTTTTATTATGAATTACGTAGTACTTCAGAGTTTTGTGTTTGTGAAAATCATGTCAATGAATTTGTGCTTTATTTGAAAATTCTTACTTGTTCCACTTTTCTTTTGTGGAAGTTTATTATTGAGTGCTCCACTTTCCAATTTGGCAACTTCTCTTGCATTTGGAATATTTTCATTCCAAAAGACATAAAAATTCCTACTTTTCCTACTTGTGTTATTGGTACATTTAACAACAAGTTTTGAACAAATTTGTAGGTATCAAGCTATCCTTCAGAAGAATCTGATGTATTTAGCTGCAATTGCCGATGCGCAACAACCAGCAGCGCAAGGAGGAGCAGTGAACTCCTCACCGCAGGTGTGGGGAAGGGGGGTGGTTTAAGATTGTGATCACATGTCAATTCAAATTCTTGGTGTGGAATTGTTCATTTCACTGATAAGCTTTCCTGGTGTTGTCAGCAGGTAGTGGTCTCAAGCTCTGCTGCTGCTACTCAACAGATGCAGCAAACTCAAGCCACCACTGGTGGTGGTGGACTTCACCAGCAGCAGCAACAAGCTGCTGCTGTTCCAAAGTTGCCATTCCAGCTTAATAATAGTAATAGTAACAATAGTAATGGTGGGGGTTTCCCATCTCCTCAAGAGCAACAACAGATGCTCCATTATCATCAGCAGCAGCAACAACAATTCCAAGGCCATCATGGTTTTGTGGGGGGCGCTGCAGTCAACAATGGCATGCATCAACTTATGCGAGTTCCCTTGGAAGCCAACAGCCATGGCCTCGGGAACATGGCTCCAGGACAAGGTGCTGGTGGTGCTGGTGCGGGGGCTGGAAGGGAGGAATAATAATCTTCTGGTGTGTGTGTCTGTATGGGTGATTGTACTGACTAACCGTAATCATGTACTGTCAAAAAAAGTTTGGTATGTATTCACGGAAAGGTGGTTTTACTGTAGCTTGTTCATAATGACAAGTTGTGGTGGTATTAATCAGTTTAGTATTTTTGTTATCAGTGTAGGTTACAGATTTGGGCAATAATAAAAGATTAATACGGTGTAATGAAGTGTTTTTTGCCAATTAAGCAGGGATAAAACTTGAATGCACTCGGTTTATCCATTGACTAGATATCAAGTACGGTAGCTTTATTAGCAAAATGAAATACAATAAAATATAGTAGATCGGTGAATAATAATGAAAAATCACCTAACGCTATTTATTTATGTGCGTATAAAGATTTAACCTTTGTATGAAAGATGGGATGAATTTGATATAGACAGTTACTGTTGCAAAATGTGTACATAGATAATTGTTGCACAAGCTACTTGTGTACATTCAACTAGGGTGTACACATTGATTATGTGCACAAATAATTATGTACAAGTGTGTACAAATTTCATATACATATTAGGCATGGACTCGGGCCGGGCCCGGCTGGGCCGTTGGTTTGTAAGTGATGACCTGGGACCGGCCTGAGGTTTGGACGGTTCCGGTTTGTGCCGAGCCACCAGCCCAGGTTACGGGTCAGGCCACCCGTCGGGCCAGGTCGGGTCAGTTAAATCCATTTTTTTTAATTTATACTTTATAGTTTTATACAAGTATTAAAAACAAATTTCAAGTGCATTTATTTGAAATGAAATAGGAACTACATTTGACAATTAAGAAAAAAATACAATATGAATACATTTTGTAAATTGTAATCAATCGGAACTTCCTGGCTTCCTGCACCTCCCGGTCCTTTGGCTTTGTCACATGACATAATATGCTTCATTGTCATCCCGTATCCGCGTGAAACCCCCATGCTACACTTTTTCCGGCACCATTTGCAAGTTGCGTACCACATCCCGGTCCTCGGGTCCTTCTGCTTATCAAAATTATACCGTATAACGGGATATTGACTTTCCATCTTTAAAATGGTAGATATAATAATTCTACAAATAATACAATAGATGAAGATGAAGATGGACAATGGAGATTAGAGATTGGATGTTAGAGAAGATGTGTATAAAAATGTTAGAAAATAAGAGTATTTATAG